GTTCAGTTGCTTTGACACAATCTGTATTGTTAAAAGCGCTATATAAATAAAGGTGACTTGACTTGACTTGACTTACCGTTAAAACCCATGAGAGGGCGCTATTGTCTGTCCATAAGGGTTGTAAAAAAATATTACAGTGATAATTCACGCATAACCAGAGGCAGACAGGAACTAAGTACATTTACTTGAGTATTGTACTTAAGTACACTTTTTGAGTATCTGTACTTTACTTGAGTATTACCTATAAAGCCACAGAAGAACTGTTGTGCATCTCCTAATAAAACACAACAGGTGTTTGACTGAAGCAGTACTGCACAGACCATTCTCTGTATGACATCAAAGTACAGCGAGAGCGATTAGACAGCATTTTTTAAATTTTTGTTTTGATGTCAAGTAAGTCTTGCTGTTTTGCTCTTTTGTTAAAGCAGTGTAGCTGTTGTAAAGTTATACAACTATATTTGTGTTGCTGGGTTTTAAAGCAGGTTTGATTTTTGATTTTCTTCCTTATCAGTCTGTATTTACAGCAATTTCACTGTCCACTCTGTTCAAATGTGGATGAATGGCTACACAACATAGATGTGTCCAGAGCTGTGTGAGATCACTACCACCCTGCTTTTGTGGGGGTGGGTAGGGTTGTTAAATAATATATTTTTTGTTTTTTTTTTCCCCATAGGTTTTTAACATTCTAAAAGCTCTTTATTCCAAAGATACTACAAGCTAGTCAGTGTATTCAGTAGGTGTAATGTATTGTAAGTTGCATACTGAACCCTTTTTCTTTAGACATCAAGCAAAATGCTGAAAGACACAACCATCATCCTTACGTTCCACCCACTTGGTTAACTGGCTCACAGTCTTTTATTTCCGAACTCCCCCAAAACAATATCCCAAAGGATTACAAAACCTTCACAACATTCAAGCCTTGAATTATCCCTTGCCACCCTACTATTCTTTACCTGTGAGCCAGTTAACCAAGTGGGTGGAACGTAAGGATGATGGTTGTGTCTTTCAGCATTTTGCTTGATGTCTAAAGAAAAAGGGCCTTGTTAAGAGTTTTCTCAAAAAATGTTGATATGGGGCATGAGAAATTGCTAAGCACATTACCTTTCCATGTCTCATGAGTGTTTAGCATGGTGTGAGAAGGCTGAGATGGGTCTGGAGAATTGGAGGACAGAAGATGGCCTCTAAAGTCAGACCTGTGTTCGGCCTTAATTCCTTCATCCTCCTCCCTCTGCTGAATATTGTACTTTAAGTGCTGTTGTACCTGCTGGAGAAAAAACAGACATCACAATCGATGCAAGTGCACTGTTTCACATTAACTTTTCAGTAACATTTTCAGACATTCAGTAAAGACCCTGTCAGTCACATTCTTCAGTCCAGCAAAAGCCACCATCAATGGATCATCTGTGGGCCGGTATAAGGCAAGGGTTTATGCCTACAGCTCACTTCACTCCTGCTGGTGCTTCCTGGCCACAACTTCCAGTGCTGAACCCCATGACGTGGGGTATGATGGATGTACCAGACCCCAGTGAAGAAAGAATCCAATGCAATGAGAGTTGCCAGAGACCAAAACACAGGAGGAATGGGAAAGAGAGTGATCGGTCTTCTGAGCTAGACTGTAGACCAGGTTAGTTGTTTTGTGAAATTTGGTGACTTTATATTGATTTGTTTCTCTTTGGGAAAAATATTACATGATATTAGTCTAATGTAAACAAACTGTCCTTATAAATCCGTGTATGTTTATTCTTGAAATGTGTCTATCAATCAACCATGAAGAAAGTAGTGAAGGTAGCACTGTGTCCTCTAAAGTCATGGTTTCTGCGATGCAAAAACGGAGAAAGAAAAAAAGAGATAGAACCAAATCAAACTCTACAGAAAATAGGAACGAATCTAATAGGTAAGCCAAATGAACAGAATAATTTTCACAATTTTATCAGTCCATGCAGACAAAAATTATATATTTTCTCTCCATTTGCAATGCCATCCACATGTTAGAGATAGATCTTCCTAAGATTTGGAAACAGTGTCAAAACATAAAATCTTTCCACATTTATCTGTTTTAGCTCTTCCACTATATCACAAGACGCTTCAGATAGCCACTCAGACACAAAAATCAACAAAATACATCAAAAACCATCCAAGAAGTCTAACAGCAAAGAATCCATTATCACTGAAAAAGAATGTTGATGCAGTGATGCAAGATGAAGACGAACAAGAAGAAAACAGGAGCCAAGAAATTTCTCAGAGTAGTGTCAGCTCTGAAAAGATAGATGGATCTGAAGGACTCAGCTTTAAAGAGGAAGACGATTCTGATAAAGGAGATGATGGCAGGCAGTCATGACATCACTGTGGCAGAAGAGAAAAGAAGTCACAGAGAAGATGAAGAAGAGGTTGAGGAAAGCATATATGGAGATGAAGAAACAGGATTGGATGATAAAGCAAAGGGAGGTGATGAAGAAGGGAGTGAAAAGAGAGATGGGACTGAACCCAGTGATAGAGGAGAGCCAGAAAAGGAAGGAGATGTTCCAGAGGACATTCCAGATAGTGGAGATGAAGGAGAGACAATGGAGGAAGAGGAGAGAGACAGCAGTTTTAATGAAAAGGAGGCTAGAAAGACTCAAGGACATTTAGAAGATGAGAGGGAAATTCACAACAGGTATATATTTAAATTCATGCAAATATCACTGTTCTTGAATATTCATCACTTGTTTTTAATATGAATCTTCTACTCATTGGACTAATACTGACTTTCTGCATAGTCTTGAGGAGTCTGAAGAGGAAGAGGATTACAATCAAGAAATAGAAGATGATGAAGAGGAAGATGATGAGGTTGTGGAAAGCATACCCCTGGTCAAGAGATCCTTTTGATGACCATTCAAAATGCCCTGATGATGATGATGATGATATTGAAGGTCTTCTCAACCCTGTCAACTCCCAAACACAGCAGTGAGTTTCATTATATTCTGTATTATATTGTTT